CGACCCCATGGACAACGTTCCTCCAGGCCTTCCTGTCCTCTGCCATCTTCTGGAGTCCATTGAAGCTCACGCCTACTGCTTCAGTGACTCCATCCAGCCATCTCATTCTCTGTTGTCCCCTTCTTCTTTTGCCCTCCATCTTCCCCAGCATTAGGACTTTCTCCAGTGAGCCCTTCCTTCTCTTTAGGTGACCAAAGTGCTTGAGTTTCAACTTCAGGATCTGGCCTTCTAAAGAGCAGTCGAGGTTGATCTCCTCTAGGACTGACCGGTTTGATCGCCTTGCTGTCCAGGGGACTCACAGGAGTCTTCTCCAGCACCATAGTTCAAAGGCCTCCATTCTTTGGCGCTCAGCCTTCCTCATGGTCCAACTCTCACAACTATATATTATTGTTGTTAGTTGCGAAGACCTATTGAGACCCCATGGACAACATTCTTCCAGGCCTTCCTGTCCTCTACCATCTTCTGGAGTCCATTGAAGCTCACACCTCCTGCTTCAGTGACTCCATCTAGCTGCCTCATTCTCTGTCGTCCCCTTCTTCTATTGCCCTCCATCTTTCCCAGCACTGGGCTCTTCTCCAGTGAGTCCAGTTCGGTAAAATATTTGTGGCAGAGTACACTTCCCTACCTCTTGGCTAATACCATAATAATAATAGATAAGCCTCCATCATTCATGTTTTGAGTTTTCCAATATGAACTCTGAATAACAGAATAACAGAGTTAGAAGCCCCCCCCCTTCTTTGTGGCAGCCTCTCAAATATTGGAAGAAGGCTACCATGTCACTCTTGGTCCTTCTCTTCGTTAAACTAGACATACCCAATTCTTGCAACTGTTCTTTTTATGTTTTAGCATCCAGCCCTCTAATCATCTTTGTTGCTCTTTCTCTGCATTCTTCCTAGACTCTCAACATCTTTTTTTATATCGTGATGATGAAAACTGGATGCAATATTCCAAGTGTGGCCTTACCAAGGCATTATAAAATGGTATCCTAGCAGTTAGTAATATCTCAGTGAAGTTCCAGGTTGGAGATCCAGCTAGTTATTCAGTTATTCATTGGATTAAACAAGGTTTTCTTTTCCAATTTCCCGGCTTTCTGAAGTAAGAGGAAATTAATCAGGGATCCTCATCAGCCAGTCTCATTCTGGCTTTAAAGCCATCATATGTTTGCGGTAGTAATGTGATACTACAGGTTAAATTCAAATTTACCAACAAAGAATTAAGGGGGAGACTGGTATAGCTATTTCGAGCTGCTTAGCTCTCATCAGCTAGCCATACCCTTCTGAGATTCGAACCTGGGCCACTTACATGTTAAGCAGCTGTATTAACCTCTAGGCCATAGGCTCTCCTCGCTTTCTTGGCTGTACCAGGAGGGAGATTAAGTGTTTTCTGGTGAGACTGGTCTATCAGTGCAACCTGATCTACCCCAAATATATACTACTGGTTGTGTCCACCTTATTCTGATATTATTCTGACCACTAAGCAGAGTATCAACATCTTTTTTTTATAATTGGTGGCCAAAACTGGATGCAGTATTGCAAGTGTGACTTGACCAAAGCATTGTAAAGAGGTATTAACACTTCATGTGGCTGTTAATGCAGCCTAGCACTGTGTAGCTTTTTTGGCAGCTGCAGCACACGGCTGGCTCCTATCTAAGTGATTGTCCACTAGGACTCTGAGATCCCTCTCACAGTTGCTACTATTGAGCCAAGTACCACCTGTACTGTACCTGTGCATTTGGTGCATAATGTTGTGTCTTCTTAGTTTTGGGCAGGCTTTACACAGTCAGAATAAATGAATTTGCTTAATACATGAATTAACCAAACAGGTGATTATTCTTAACACTGAAAACAATGAGGAAGAAACGGCTCTGCGTTCAAATATGCTATTGATGCATATTAAAGGTTGCTAATGAGATTATTTAATGTGCTTAGCTTGATGGAGTGCTTGTCAACATAGCCATTACAGTTCCTGCTGTTCTGATGGCTTCCTTTTTTCCCATTCTTCCCTCCCTTCCCTCCATGTACATTTCACACCATTTTCAACTAATTTAATTTCCTGAAGGACTTTTCCTGGTGCAATCATCTTGAGTTCCCTGGTTCTACTTTGGAGCAAAGAGAGGAGCAGACAGCTGATTTGGGAGGATTTTATAAAGTTAAATTGGATCTGATTACTTCCTGGGTTGGACTGAAAAATCCTAGCATTGTAGATGTCTATAGAGATTCTCCGTCATCCAAAATTGCAAAATTATAAGTCAGAAGAACTCCAAGGTCTATCTAGCCCAGAGGTAGGCAACCTTGGCTCTTTTATGAGTCGTGGACTTCAACTTCCAGAATTCTTGAGCCAGCCATGCTGGGAGTTGAAGTCCACGAGTCATAAAAGAGCCAAGGTTACCTACCCCTGATCTAGGCCATCATTTGTCTGAAATGGCATAGGGCTTCCTGGTTGAGCAAGGGTTTGGATGAGAAGATCTCCACAATCCCTTCCAACTGTGTTATTCTGTTATGTTCTGTTATCATTCTGTCTCCATACTGACACCTGAATGTTCACGTCAAGCATATGGAAAGAACAAAATTCAATGGCAACCATGCAACTCTGACCGCAACCAATAGTTCCTACTCCTAATAGTAGAAGATGTGGGTAATCTAACAGGTATTTTTGCATGAAATGGTGGTACCTTTGGAGCAAATGCACAACATTAGTGGCAGAATGGCACTTAGAAAACCCTTACTTTGGAACTGCTACTCAACCCAGATTTGAGAAAAGTCCATATTTTGCTAGGAGTACCTACTGTATTTGCTCCTATTTCTCTGCTCTCTATCTGCTCGCCTTCCCAACCATCAAAATTGCTACCATGGCAAAGGATGAAGAATACAACAATGCTACATAACAATAGTTCGGGTGTTTTCCGATAGCAGGAAAACAGTTAAAATAAAGGCATGGCTACCAACTCTGAACTTCTTGAGATGCCTTCAGCGATTATGTTCTGGAGGTTTTCTTGTAAATCCTGAAATAGTTTCTCCATTTTAGTCCCTACATTCACTACCCAGACTCTTAAGCCATGCTTTTTTGTGGCTATTCAGAAGATCCTCATGGTGGAGTCCACCCTCCCTTAATTTTCACATCCTAAAATTTGTCCTACACAAAGAATAGAGAATGTTTGGATGTGCTCATAATACCAGATCTGCCTACTTAACTTACTTAACCATTATAAGTCAACACGTGTCCTTTACTAGCTCATAGATTCATAAATAACCAACTCTACCCATCCCACAGCAATGAATGGGACTCCAGTTCCCATCTCTTTCTTGAGCAATTGTGGAGGAGATAGTCTCCAAGGGCCTGTATCTCTCCCCTCTTTTATCCAACAGCAATGGAAATGAGCACTGGTGTTGACCTATGCTGATCAAAACTCTTGCATTGACATGGCCAAATTAAGGAGAATAAATGAATTGCAACAATATGGAACTGTCCATATTAGGAGAAGCATGACAGAAACCACAAATTAGGGCACCTGAATTTGGTAAATAGGTTTCTTTCTCAACATGCTTCTGAAATGTACCGGGCAAGGAATGATATTGTAGCAACTTCTGCTTTTTATCTACTTTCGTGCGAATGGCTTTCTTTCTTGCTTGTGTAACCGCACAAACCACACAAAGTATAAACACCCGCCGAATAAATCATGTGGGGGGTTCTTCCAGCATTATGGGAGGAACCCACCTTGGTCCAGATCTGGATAAACTCGTGACTCGGAGAGAGAATTGGATGCTGCCTCTTTGTTCGTGCCGAGACTGACCTAGATTTCCTGCTGGACCCTAGGATGGAGATCTGCAAATGAACTTCCCTACTGCTTTTGGTGCCAGTCTCAAGTGATCTCTTTCGAAATTGCTCACTTGGTACCAGGGATTAAACGTGGATTAAAAAGGAGAGCTTGCCACAAGAAGGATGTGCTGACAAATGCAGAATGCCCCATCTGGCATGGGTTCAGGGTATCTGAGGGGCCATCTCTCTCTCTCCGATGGGACAAGCCCACCCTACTTGTGCCACTGGAAGAGGCCTGATATAGAGCCCATCTGCTAAGGAACTAAAGTCAATGGTGGGGTCCCCAGCCTATTGGCTACTGGGTGAGTGGCTGGCTGATACATGTGTGTACGCACATGCACACAGCCCCACTTACGTGAGCATTGCAGCAAACATCCCTCGCTTTCGCAACCCCACTTGCGTGAGCCTTGCAGACATTGGCGGTTCCACCCATGTGAGCATCACCACAAATCTCATGGGTGTTTGTGGCCCCCACTTGCGTGAGCAACAGGTGTTCATGGATGCACCCGTGTGCACGCATGGGTTCATCCCCACTTCTTTCCTCCCTTCCCCTGCTCCAGGCCACCAACCTTGAAAGAACTCTGGCCAATAGGATCAAGCAGAAGGACCTTTCCTTCTGGGACCCCATCTTTGTGGACCACTCTACCATTAGAGGTGAAAACTGACCCCTCTTTTGGCTTTCCGGAAGGGTCTCAAAACCTGGCTTTGCTGGTTGGCCAGGGGCTGTGGGGGGGGTCGTTCACCACTGGAAGTGGCTGATGGGATAAGAAGACGGGTTGTCCCATCCATCTCTTGGCACTTGTAGACGTGGTTGTAGCATAGTTTTTTAAAATAATCTTTTAACGTTGGCTTATTTTAATCTGTTGGCTACTTTCCCTTCGTCTCTATAATTTGGAAGCTGCCCAGAATGTCCTTGTAGGGGGGAAATGGGCAGCGTAGAAATTTAATAAACAAACGACAACAAAAGGAACACAAATAAATAAATAAAAATCAGATCAACCTCGTATCTCCCTCACTATAACCAACTGCAATGCCTCAACCCCGCAGAGACATGTTCTTGAGGTTGCTTCTGAAATGGCTCTAGAAGGAAAGGTAGAATCGTAGAAGAGTCATTAGTGTCCACAACACAGGAGACGCTACGGGACAACAGGTGATGTTCCTTGCCACCACCCCCCAACCATTACCTGTGCTAGACCTTGCTTATCCAGTGTTTCCCACCATTCTTCAGTAAGGACGGTTAGCATCCTTTGGCCTTTTCAGCTGGACCTTCAGCCTCTTCATCCCAATCTGGAAGCCATTCATAGCCTGGATGGCCGCCTGGGCACTAGCAGGATTGTCAAAACTCACAAAGCCTGTCAAAACACAAGGAAGGTGCAGGATTTAACTGGCTGAAAGGGGCGACGGGGCCATCCCACGCTAGATCACGTCGAGGATGAACATGGAGTGGGGGTCCAAGGAGCTGCCCTGCCCAGCGTTTAATGCAGGAAACTTCCAGCTTCTTACAATGTCACGGCGGGTTTGGGTGAGTAGCGTTGTGAATGGAATGGGTCTCGCATTTACCTCGGCTGAAGGCTGGCTGGGAGGGAAGATGGGAAGCAAGCCATGGAAAAGTTAGACTTCGGATGGAGGAATGAAGAGACACCAGATGGACCACCATCACTGAAAGGGACAGGTCCTCAGGTGAAGTTATTCTTGCAGAGGAGAGAAGGAAAGAGTGATGCTGGGAGGGATTTTTAATGCTCACAGTGAGGTGTCCACCTCAAACTAGAAGATACATTTCATAGAATCATAGAATCCTAGGGCTGGAAGGGATCTTGGAGATCTTCTGGTCTAACCCCCTGCCCAAGTCAGGAGTCTTTAAACCCTCCTGGACAAATGGTTGTCCAATCTTTTCTTGAAAACCTCCAGCAATGGAGCACCCACAACTCCAGGAGGCAAGTTCTTCCACTGATTAATCATTCTTACTGTCTGGTCCACCCCTAAATCTGGTCCACCAAATTCTCGTACACCAAAAGAGCTGGTGGTTTTATCACCAGACTAGCATCTGCTGCTCACCAAGAAGGTGCTGAACCTTGATGTAGATAAAGGTTGGGTGGATGGCATGGGGATGACAAACACAGGGACCATTTTAGGTATATCACTAAAGCGTAGGATTGTACCTTGGGTTTTGGAAACCCAACTAGGGATTCTGCTACATTAAAAGAAAAAAAAAAATCCAACTACGTTAAACCTATTTTAAGGCTTAAATTAATATTTTTAAGTATTTCCCATCTCAAGATGGCAGGGAACCATACCCATTTGGGGCAACTGTTAGGGGTATTTTGCAAATTGGTTAAGGTCCAAACTGGGCAAAAAGAAGACTTTCGAATCTCAAATCTTTATACAATCATGAATTGTAGCCACTATGTTCTGACCTGCTCAGGGACATCCATGGATTGCTAAAACCCTCCCCCAAAATGCTGGTTCTGACCACATGATAAAAGGCCCACCCCTTTTTACAGGTGACTGTAACTAAAAGTCATGGCAGCCCTATTAAAATTTGTTGACTCACATCCATCTCCACAAACATCCCTGGACCCATTAGCCACGGCCCTCTACTGGTCTGTGGCCTATTCGCAACTAGGTTGCATGAGTGGCTGGCTGGTGTGCGCACATGCGCGTGTGCACAGCCCCACTCACGCAAGGATCACGGGCTCTCAGGGCCTCCATTGTGAACGTGTCGCAGGGGCTCTCCGTCTCACTCGCGGAAGTGTTGTGGGTGCTCAGGAGCTCACTTGTGTAAGCTTCAGGGGTGCTCTCAGCCCCATTCACATGAGCAATGGGTGCATACAGCATGCTCCCCTTGGGATGGGCAGGCCTATGTTACCTGGGTGTAGTTTTTCCGGGTTTGTTGCCTCTGAAAGAGCCTATAGATCTCTGGGCTTCAACTCCAGCCCAGTTGCATAAGAAAGAAATATTGCACCACAGTTGGTACTGGGTTTTTTTTGGAACTCTATTCCCTTAAGTGGGTGTTAATATGCTGTGGAAACAATGTAGGAAGTTCTCTATCTTTTTGGAGCAATTGGCTAATACCACCGCTGATGGGATGGAAGTGATTGGTACAGAATTAATTAATTAACGGTTTTACAAAATCAGATCGCCCTCGATTATCTGCTGGAAAAAGAAGGCGGCGTCTGTAAATTAAGTACTGAGTTTGTGTGTCAACTTTAAATAAACCTCTGGATCCTAAAGTGAGAATTTTGTTGTGTGTTGTCTCTTGTTTCTTTTTAACAAGATTTTCCCCTGACAGGGTGCACAGGCCTGGCCCTCCCACAAAACCATCCCCTCTTTTCCCCCTTTCCCCCTCCAGACCGCCAACATGAAAAGGTTGGGGAACTCTGTGCGAGTTCATATTGAACAAGTAGATGACTTCGTCATCCAAGACAATTTCCCCACATGTTGACCTGTTCAGCTAATGGAATATATATATATACATATAGTCTACACATAGGCCTCGACTTACCACCGGTTGCTTAGCGACTATTCAAACTTACAATGAATCTACTTTTAGGCTACTTATAACCCTGAACCTCTCCGAAACTACCTGATCAAACTTTGGGCACTTGGAAACAAGACCATATTTATGACTGTGTACACCAGGGGTCTTCAGACTTGGCCCTTTTATGACTTATGGACTTCAACTCCCAGAATTCCTCAGCCAGTGTGCCTAGCTGAGGAATTCTGGGAGTTGAAGTCCACAAGTCATAAAAGGGCCAAGTTTGAAGACCCCCGGTGTGCAGCATCGAATAGTCACACACAACCATGTTTTTAGGGTGGTTTTCCCAAAAACCTGCACTTATTTCCAGGTGTCGGCAAAACCGCATCTTAGCGAACAATGGGTTTGCTAACAGTACGCCATTTGCTTAATGGCCACTATAGAAAGACCATTAACCAACCCATTTTATGACTGCCACGATTTGCAATGTGGCAGGGTCCATTATGGCCGTATCTTGAGGACTACCTGTATATATCAGATTTTTCAACCGCTGCAGTCTCAGGGGCACTGCAATCACAACCAATGTTCTGATTCTATTTTTGTTCCTTGTCAAAAAAACAACAACAACCCAATACATTTCTTACCGGAAAGGAGTTTGAGTGGATGCATTAGGAGGCCTATATTGATCAGAAAATCCTATTAGAACATCCTAGTTGTGTTCTAAGACAACTTAGAAAATCTTCTATTGTAAAAAGCTGGCAAAAACCTCCTCCACCCTCACTTTCAAATAGACACCCACACTTTCATACTTAGGCTTCCCTACTTTAATAGGAAAGAAGCTAAGTAAAACCATTAACTACACCATTAGTAATTTCCCAAGTGTCTTTAGATATGGCCACCATACAAAAAGGCCACTGGCTCATTATCATCAGTGGGAGACACACACCTACAAGTTATCACACCCTTTACAGATCTGTGGATCATTTTTGTCGTAAACTACCTCAACTATTTGTTGGGAAGTCTTATACCATTTTGATAACCCTCCAGGCAGTGGTGGGATTCAGCCAGTTCGCACCACTTCGGCAGAACCGGTAGCTAATTTTTTGTTGCTCAGACCCAGACTGGACCTCCGGAAGTGGCATCCACACAGAGAACCAGTTGTTCACATATTTGAATCCCACCACTGCCTCCAGCACTCCAGAGGAGTTCCTGGCTTAGATGTTCCTGAGCTTTATGGTAAATTGATGCTAATGGACATCTTCTCAAATCCAAGTGATGCCTTCAGATGAGCTTTCAAGAAGAGAGGTGGGCAAGGTGAGTCCAAAGAGACATTGTCATGGTGATCTGGGCCCTGAGAGCTGCCATGGTGCTGAATGGCATTAGAAAAGATGATCTTGAAGATTCTAGGTTTTCTTTTCATGTTCCTCTTATTTTCCATCTTTCTCTTATTTGACATTGAGTCTGGCCAATGAGATGGCAGGATTCTTGAGTGAATTAGAAGGCTGTTTTAGAATATAGAGAGAGGTGGCTACCACTTTTGGATTTTGAGTTCCTTTTCAATTAGAAAATCAATCAATCAATCAGAATAGAACTGGAAGGGACCTTGGAGGTCTTCTAGTCCACCCCCCTGCTCAATCAGGAGACCCTATACCATTTCAGACAAGTGGCTGTCCAATCTCTTCTTAAAAACCTCCAGTGATGAAATATCCACAACTTCTGAAGGCAAGTCGTTCCACTGGTTAATTGTTCTCACCATTAGGACGTTTCTCCTTAATTCCAAGTTGCTTCTCTCCTTGATTAGTTTCCATCCGTTGCTTTTTGTCTTGCCTTCTGGTACTTTAGAAAATAGCTTGACCCCCCCTTCTTTGTGGCAGCCCCCAAATACTGGAATGCTGCTATCATGTCACCCCTAGTCCTTCTTTTCTCTAGACTGGCCATACCCAATTCCTGCAACTGTTGTTCATATGTTTTTGTCTCCCGGCCCTTAATCATCTTAGTTGCTCTTCTTTGCACTTTTTTTTTGATAATGTTTGGACCAAAACTAGATGTGGTATTCCAGGTGTGGCCTTACTAAGGCTTTATAAAATAGTACTAATACTTCACATGCTTTTGATTCCATGCCTCTGTTTATATGCTGCCAAAATCGTGAAGTCCTTGGTGGTTTCTTGACTCGGTTGTTTTCCAGCAGACATTTCATTACCCAACTAGGTATCATCATCAATTTTAGAAAGGAATGGAGTTTGCTCACTGTTGAAATACTAGTGGTTACCCTGTCAGTGTTGGTGGGAGTGCCTGTCATGGTGGTTCCTTGATTACACTGTTCTTTACTATTTATCCATCTGGGTTGGTAGTTCCTTGATTGTGGATTGTTTACTGCTTGATTGTTGGCCTGATATTAATCCTGGTGTTAATCTCTGCTCATCTGGGAGTTGACTGCTGAAGAGAAGGTATTTTGGTCTTTTTGTTGCCTTTTTAGCTTTAGGACTGTCTCTTTTGAATGGTGTGTAAATGTTGTTTATCTCTATGTGCCTGTTGATGGCTGATTTTTCTGCCAGGCTTCCAGGAATTCTCTAACATTTCTGGATTTAACTTGAGGTAGCATTTCTAGTGTAAACTTTAGGTTTTGGTGACTGGAATGACTTGGTTGTTATTGAAGTGGCCTAAACATTTAGAAACCTACCTACCTTCCTTCCTTCCTTCCTTCCTTCCTTCCTTCCTTCCTTCCTTCCTTCCTTCCTTCCTTCCTTCCTTCCTTCCTTCCTTCCTTCCTTTTTCAGTTTATGTTTCCATTCATGTTTTATCTTACAGTAAGCTTTAATAAAATCACTTGGGGAAAAAAAAAGAAACTTGTTTCACCCTGGCAGCCAGTTTGCCTCT